AAATTAATTAAAACTACTCGGAGTCCTCTTCCTCAGACCTGTCTATTACAATCTGACAAGTGCGCGCATTGTGTCCAGTCTCACCACACTTGCCACAGCGACGTGCATGGGTTTCTTCCCTTGGCTTCCGACCACTACTTGCCCTTATTTCTTACTTGTAAGGACACAGGGCACCCAGCTCACAGTAATAGCATATGAGAGTGCGAGTCGGAGGCTAAACGGATGCTATCCTATAGGTCTACTACGAAGGATACAAAAAAGATGAAGGGGGAACCCCGTTGAGTCTGTTTCCTTAACTCCCGAAACGGGTCCGACTCGGTTATCCCAACCCTAGCCCTGAACCTTCCACCGCAACAGGTCTACATCGGCCCTGAACCCTATACACTTACCGTCCCCCACTATAGTGTAACTCGCTATATAATCCTCTACTGGTTCGAAACCCCACCGAGTCGGATTCCATGTTTGTAGTGACCGTAACAGTTCTGAGACAGGATCTTCGAGTATCTAGGTACGGAGGCATCCTTACATTACTCTACTTGCTGCACAACGTCCCTCTCGTCCTGTAGCTCCAGTGCTACCTGTTGACTAAGTGATCCTCCTTGCTGTAGTCGTGTTTTTTTAGCTCTCCGGCGCTTGCTTAGCACTTCATTTGCCTGTCGCAGGTTTTGGTTCTCTGCTTTTAACAATGCTAATTGATGCATTATTTGCGATGCACCCTTTGTAAACTGGTCAACAGCTGCATAGATTGAGGTTGGAGAGCTATTTTGATGATGCGCAATTCAGTTTTTAATGAAAGTAGACTGTGATACAGCTTCAGTTGGGTTATTTGGTGTCTGAGAAACCCATGGTTGAGCGGTGTTTGGGCGAGAGGTTGGAGGTGTTGGCGTCTTAAACCTAAGGTCAAGTGTAGATATTACACTCTCAGGGCTAAATGGAAGAAGCCCAGCACCTCGGAACCCTCCCTGAATATTGCTTTCTGTCATTGCAATGTTAAATGCAGCGTGGAAGGCAGGAAAGAAGTCATCCTTAGTAATGTGAATAATATGAGCCCGCATCATATCTTCAATTTGCCGACCGTAAGCTCTCTGGCCAAAACAGCCAACATCAAGTGGTTGGAGTATATGGGAAGAGTGAGCAGGCATACAAAGCATAATAATGTTGTGTTCTTTGCAGTACTCCTCAAACTTGTCTGAGTGGTGGCTCTCATGACCATCAAGGACTAACAAGCGATAACCACCAACACTCCGGGGCTTTGTGTGCTTCTCAAAATGCTGAATCCAATCCATACCTCTCTCATTTGTAGTCCAGCCATTTGCAGTAACAGCGATTACCCAATCTGCTGGAAATCCGCTATTCTCATACCAAGATGCAAGGTGGTTTTTACCTGCCACAATGACAAATGGCGGCACTGCCCAACCTTGAGAACTAACGCCTTGGATTACTGTAACCCATTCCCGATTGCCAGGCTGCACCTTTTTTGCCTTTGCCCGCCCATCTGAGCTCGTTACTACCGTTGCGCTTGAGATGACGCCCATCATAAACCCAGTCTCATCAAAGTTGTAGATATCTGCATTGTTGATGCCATATTTTAGAATTGTGTATACAAGCTCAAACCAGCCACGAATGACTTCTGGATCTTCGCACTTAGCCCTCTGGTAGTCGTATTTTCGCTGGAAGCGTGTCCGGAGTGTAATGGTGGGTGCATCAGATGTGAGAATCTAGCCACCCAAGGAAGGGATGAATTTACTAAGACAACACACTGTCTTAGGAAACAGAGCCAAAGGGTTGTAGCTTAGACTATTCCACAACGCAGCAATCAGGTGTGTGATGTAGTGAGTGGTTCAGACAAGTTGCAACAAATGTTGAGTCTGGGAACTCAGGGGTAAGTCAGAGGTTAACACCTCACTGACTTTTCAGAAACAAGGAGTAACAAGATGAATGCTTGGAAGCTTGGAAAAGACGTGGAAGTATGTGATAGTCGATTTACTGTATTGTCTGCTTGCCCTTTCTTAAGGAAAGGGCAATCCTATTTATGCTAAAGGAGTGTAGTTCTCTCATTTTCCAAGACTTTCCATGACTTACCAGGCTTGGTAACTGTAGTCGACGTAAGAGAATCCCATAGAACCATCTCTTAGGTTCGTAGCCTATAGGAAGTAAAAGGAGGTCCAAGGTCAGAGTACCCCTATAGACAAATTATGTCATAGACAAATTATGTCATAGACAAATTATGTCATAACTTAACCAATCTTGTGGGTAACTAAAGAGCGATGACATGTAATGGATCATAGAGGTTCGTAGGAGCTTTTAGAGCTATCGTTCATGCTCCTAGGCCTCTAGTTGGTAGAGATATGTCATGTGGTAGTATGAGTGATGTCATGTAATGAATCATAGAGGGTTGTAGAGATATGCTATGTGGTAATATTGGCCCAGTAACTAAGGAGCGATGACGTGTAATGAATCATAGATGGTTGTAGCAATCGTTGAGTAGTATTGCTCTTGCTGTTGGTGTGATAAGCCAAAATATGTATAGTGACTTGTAGGTTTGAGGAGGAGATTTCCAAGTTTTCTCTTGAGTTTGATAGCAAACTGAGTGCAACGAATGTCAGTATGACACTACATGGCGCTTAACAAAGTTTGAAGCCCAACGTGACCTGACGCGTGGCGCGTCGCGTGTTGCAAGTAGTCCATTTGCCATATCTTCAACAATAGACAACGGAGGAGGGAACCCTTTAGCAGCTAAGTCAAGTATATACTGAACAAGAACTGATTCCTCTAGGTTACTTAATTTCCGTAAGTTGGCTTGGATATCGCGTCGTGAAGGTACGCCTTGTAAACGGTGACGTAGCTTGCGGTGGTCTACGGAATAGATCCTAGCTGCAATCGAAGGCGCAAATTTGGGTCGCTTTGCATAGCTTGGATAGCTAGCACTAATTTGCTTTCATCATTTTTATGGCGCATGTTTTGTTGTGGAGGAATTTAACATTTAGTTGGGGGGGTTGGTCACCGCATGATTTTGGCACTTTCGCTTGTTTGGCACTTTCGTTATACATGCACGTTAATACAAAAAAAAAAAAAATTGAAACTTTTGCAGGCTTCCATGTTCTAGCTATCTTCATAACAAACGATCTTGTATCGTTGTTACTAGTAATCATTGTTGTAGCGAATGTACTTGTTGCAATTACAAATGCAACGCTTGCGCCCCTTCTCCTACTGATTGGGAGAAGCTTCGTGAGAAGAGCATGTTAAGGCCAAAGAGGAAGCAGCGGCATTTCAAGAGTGTAAGGCTCACCTCTATGCTCAAGAAGCGTATGCGTGTTGCATACGTCTTTGCAAAAGCAGAAAGCTCTCAAAACCCACGGCGTTGAGATGCTACGTCGAGGTCTGAAATCCTTAGACGTGTTGGAGGAGCTTAAGGAGCATGAGCGGCATGAAGCTGAGACTCGTTCCCTTCTCCTAACTGCCTCTAAGGCTACCTCTAAGGGCAATGCTTCGAAGCATGATCTCTTCCTGTCTTTGCCTTCTGGATTCTTCGACTGCTAGGATTCTTTGCAAATAAGGGCTTCGAGCCAAATTTTGATATTAAGAACAGCAAGTTCCAAATAGCGCCACAGGAACACAAGGATATTGATACAAAGCATGAAAGATATTTGGGAGTTTCCGCAAGACTAAATCGCACTCTCGCAAACTTGCATAGAGACATTCGCAAATCAACACAGGAAAGCTACACCAAGATACCAGGTTAGAGATCAAGTATGGCTATCTACACGAAATACCAGGACTTAGAGGCTATCGAAGAAACTCGATCACAAGCAAGTTGGTCTGTATAAGATTCTCGGACGAATTAGGCAAGTGAGGAAGCGTCGATGAGCTTAAGGTTGGTGAAGATCTGGCTTACGATCTCGGTGGGGAGGGTGTCGAGAGAGTGTTTCGGCGGGTATGGAGGCGGTTCAGGGGATTGGCTTGAGCCTTGTTGGCGTGTCAGGGTTTTTTTGAGGTCCCCCAGGGACATGCGGCGGTGTTCCTCCATTGTTTCTGCGGGATCGCGTTCACGAACCATTAAAGGACTCCGTCTCACAAACCCCTAGTAGGTCACAACCTGAAACTCCAGTAAACCTTCCGTAAATCGACACCCTATTAGCATGTGGCTCAATGGGAGCCACTCAGCCAACTCTAGCACCAATGTCTAGGTCACAGCTCTCCCGCTCTCTCGGCAGCTGGATACTACGTCGTGCTGGCGCCCTTCTGTGCCCTGACGCCGAGGACCCGTAGCGCTCGTTGAAAGGCGGCCTCCTCCACCGCCTGCACCGTCGGCACATCATCCACCCCACTCCTCCTCCCCACTCCCTCCTCACTCCTCCTCCCCACTCCCTCCTCACTCCTCCTCCCCCCCTCCCCATCCCGCGGAAGATGTTAAGCGGCGGCGATGGTGCTCAGTGGGGATGGTCAGGTGTGATCAGAGGGGTGTGTAGAGGTTTCCGATATATCTCATGTAGGCCAGCTATTTCGGTGACAACAACAACAACAACAGCGATGGAGGAGAGAAGGGCGCCATAACAGCTCCAGACGACTGGGCATAGCTATTATATGTGTCAACTGACAGCAGATCGACGACGACTGAGGAAGCCCGGCCGAGAGGCCAAGCGGCCAAAGCAAGGCTGGAAGCGGGGGATGTGGTCTGTGCGTCCATTTATCAGAATGCTTGTTTTGCTGCTGCGGGTACGAATTCGTGATGCAAGTGCAGGAGAGATTTATCCGGGCCGGGGGAGTAGGGAATTAGTGCTCGTACCTGGGTGTGTTTAAGACAACATCTGCGGGCCGCCGCCATCCCGGAGACAACCGTGCTACTGGAGTGTAGTGCACGTTTTCTCAGGCTTATCTGCCGAACTTTCGCCGGAGAGAGAGCCTGTTTCTATCGGCGAGCTGGTTTGGGATCAGTGTCGTAGCACAAGAGGCACTGTTGATCTCGATGCTGTAACAACAGTGCCTCTTGTGCGTGTGATGATGGATCCCAGTATAGTGGTGAAGCGGGTTGGAGCCCGCGACTCCGCGGTTTGGACTCTATCCGCGGCGCTGGGTGGCCCTTGTTGAGCATTGGAATAGGCCAAAAGGAGCCGCGGCATCGACTTCTGCATCCGGGCTCGATGAAAAGGGCGCGATGTGCCCGGCCTGCTAAACAATATAGACATGATAAGCAGAACAATGAGTCAACTTCATCAGAACCTGATTTGAAAGCGAATTATCCATTAGGTGCCTCCACAACGTAAGAGTGGCTCTGCACATGACGCGCTATAAAATACACATACCCCATACATACATCAGCCCCAAGACTGGTTGATCATCGAGTCTCCAACGCCGTCCATATGCAACTCCAATGCCCCGATAGCCTCCCAAATCATAAGGCTCCACTGCTTCCACAGAACAACTCCCCCAAATAACCCGCGGACTCCTTTACACCTCCCCTCCCCTTAAAATCCATCTCTTTCATAATCATCATAACCATCCCTTCACAAACGCCACTTCCATCATCATTCATACACCCCCTCAAAGCTTACTCGCCTCCACCGCCGGCTCCTCAATATTCGGCAACCAATGTCTCCCACACATCATCGGTTTCGGGGGATTACTCCTAAAACACCTATCCTCCACCCCCTCCTTAGCCTTCAACCCAAACACGCCCCTGACAGCGCAATACTCGTACCTCCCTGGCATGAAATCGCGGATATGCATGTGTAGCTCGCAGCGATAGATGCCGCAGTACCTGCACGCCGTGACAGGGCCGAGCACCTCCCACGCGCTCTCGAGCGTGTTGGGGCCGCGACGGCGCTGGTTCAGGGGGACGCGCACACGGTGGGTGGCCCGGTAGGCGGTGTAGAAGTGGCGCGAGGTGAGGCCGAGACAGGTGCTGTCGATGGGGTCGAGGGAGGAGAAGATGAGGAGGTGGAGTTCGGTGGGGAGGGAGGTGAGGGAGGTTGTGGGGGTGGTGGTGGGTGTTTCGGCCTCGATGAGGGGGAGGAGAGCAGCGGCTAAGCTGGGGATGAGAAGTGGCGCACGCGGCAGGTCGCTGGTGGCGCCGTAGTGGGCGCTCGAGGTGGCATCGATGGCGCCTCCTGGGTAGAGCGCGAGGGTGGGGGGGTCAACGGAGGGAGTGTGCATCGCGTGGGTGGTGGTAAGGACCTCGGCGGTGGCCATTTTTATATCTGCGCTCGTCTTTCGCTTGGGGGGCGTTGGGGTGAGACGGCTGCGATGACTGTAAGGAATGGTACGATTTTTTGGAGATGGGGGGGTTATCATAGGGGCCTTACCGAGTCCGGGAATCGACTCACGACGAAACACGACGGGCGAGGGCACGATGGTGCGAGGAGGTTGTGGTGGTGTTGGGTTCGTTTGGGTATGGTGGCGCGACGGGGTGAGGGCGACGGTGTGAGAAGGTGACTCTAGATTTCCGAGTAGCGAGCAAGATTTACGCAGTCCGTTTAACAAAAGTGTACTCCAGGTTGCAGTTGTTGTTCAAAATGAAGAGAGTGTGATGTGAGAGTAGGAAAGGAATAGATTCGGCTTTGGGGGTGAATTTGTCGACGCCTCCTGTTGTTGCCGCGGCACCGGAGGAGGGCCACAAGGCTGAGCGTTTCGGTTTTTTCACTCAGTTGGACCCGGACGCGACGCGGGGCGGTCAACGCGAGGCGGTCTACCCGGGGCGGTCTACCCGAGGCTGGGTGGACGGGAATGGAAGGTTGTAGGTGGGCTTGTTTTAGAGGCTGTATGGGCTGTAGGGGTTGTTACTCGAGTGGGCAAGTTAGTTTTGGACAGTTTGGGACAGAAGGGATGAAGATTTTCAAGGATTTTTACTGTACGTACCGGTCGACAGCCTCGTGGACGTGCAAGGAGAGGGTGAAGATGCGAACGAGGATTTCCCGCGTCCCGGGACGGTGGCGGTGGAGCGATTGAGTGGATGGATGTGGGTGCAGACCCCTTTTTAACATGTGTGATCTGTCAGTCTAGCTTGTTAGGGTACAGGCTGTTGTACCGTGCCAGCTTCAATATCAGTATTTAGAGCATCACACATCTCGGTATGCCCAGTACGTACGTACAGCATCACAGATAGACGTGGCGAGTTCTGATTCCGTGCAGAATCACCATCTCCACCCCTGCTGCCAGGGATGTGCACTATGTAATTTTGCTGTACGTACGGAGTACAGGTACTACATATGCTAAATATGCTACATATGCATGATAGAGGGGCGTGAGGTGTGCCAAGAGCCAGTTATGGGTTACGGCGATGCCAGATACAACAGTGCATATACTATAGTGATACACGTAACTGACATATGGTTTTGCTTATAAACCGGAGAAACCTACGAGCCTTGGAAGGTTCCTCGTCGGCATGTGTAGCAGGGAAAATCGTGAGAGGCTAGGAAAGACGATCATTGCCATGCGGAGGGCACCACCCGAGTCGTTACGCCTTGTGCATCTGCTATGGAGTTTAACTGGCACTGGGGGGGGCGAGACATCGCCCCCCGGGTGCTTGAGAGGGTGCCAGAGCTCCGTCAGCTCAGTCTTGATCCGATTCCATATGGAAACTGGTTGGTAGGGGGGGGGTAGTGGGACCCCAGCCTCCACCATTGAGGGGTGTAGAGGTATTTTAGGGAGTATTTAGAGCGCGCAGTCATGAGAGCAGGAGTGCGGGCAGAGAGGCCGGGGTATCGCTTGTGTTGGAGGATGGAGGTGCGCCAGCGGCGGAGGATGGCCTGTTCGAAGGCGGGGAGCCGAGGGCGGCGTGGCGGAGGGTGGAGATTGGGCAGGGAGATGTGAGGGGGGTGGGGGAGGGGTTGAGGGAGGAGTTGATGATGTAGAGGCGGGGTCTGGTGGGGAGAGGTTCGTTGGGGGTGGTAAAGGGGGAAGTGGGGAAGGGGGGAGGTAGGAGTCTTGCTGTGCCAGGGATCTGATTTCTGGTGTACTGCTCAGCTTGCATAGTTTAATTCAAAACATCACCGCTTCTGGTTTATGTCACTCTGCACCCCTAATAATAATAATATCTTTCGCTATAAGGTAACCCCCCCTAAGAGAGTAGAAAAACGGGACGAATGCCAAAATTAATACATCACAAACAGTAGCTATAAACCAAAGAAACATTAAGGGTAAACAAGATATCATTAACAAAACCACCAGCCTTAGTTCCCCTTTTCCTTAGTGTCCTGCAGCCCACTGAAGAAACAATTTCAATTTTTTAAAGTTGAGCAATTACCCAATTTAAAATTTCTTTTGTTGAATCCTCGGCCCGGAAGCAGGGATCAGGGCCCTGATACCGAAGCTATGTCAGCCAGCTTCGTGATCCTCCGGATCCTGGATCTTCCGATTCTAAAGCTTCGATTCTGAAGCTCCAGGGAACGAACCGAAACCAGGAGGGTTTTAGGATCCGAACCACGAATAGGCACACCCGTAACAGTATATATAGTACTTAGAATAGCTTCAATTATAAAGACATGCATTATAAAATTATCATTTCGGGCCCTACTGCTTCGTGACTGTATTTTCGGCTTATATTCTCTACCTACTGCCCTACGGATATTGTCCAACACTTTTTAACAGACGCTTGCTTCTTTGCAAATAAACCTAAGAAGCTAGCAAACACATGAATAAGAAACAGAAGTGTTGGGAATTGTGAGAGCCGCATAAGTCTTTCTAGAGCAGTATCGACTTCTTCTTTTCTGGCTTCACGAGATCCTGCACAGCGTGTATAGCCTGTCCAGACTCTTTGAATTTTTTCTGTACGGCAAAATGGGGTACCTGAGTACAGACTGTACCTCAGGTACCCCATTTTGCGCGCCTTGTAATGCTCCAGATATCTCTTCAGTCCGCTCCTCTACTTCTACTAGTGTCACCGTCGAATGAGGGAAGGACAAATGCGCCCTAGGGAGCTCTTTAATAAGGGGGTCTTCGGCGACAGGCACATGGTGCGGTGAGCATTGGCGGGTGCGCTGGAGGAAGATCGATCCGACCTATTATTGCCTCTTCCGACGAAGGAGGTGGTGCTGGGTTAGAAGTCGCTGCCAGCTGACTTTGTTGGTTGTTGACTTCCTGGAACAACGGCGGTATAGCCTCAGGCATTTCAACTGGAATTGCCCCATAATTCCCCATTTCCATTGCCATAGCTAAGCCATCCAACGAGTCAAGGCGAGTGTTGAATTTGTGCTGTGGACCAAGGTCTATCTTAACGATGGCCTCGCCCTGGTGTTTTGGTCGCTACGGAGGGAACTTCAGGTTCCTCCTTATACGGTCCCGCACTCTCTGCAGCTTGCCTGTAATTTCAACGCGAAGGTAGCATGGTGTCTAATCATGCTCAAATGCAAATCTCGTGTGGATGGTATTACTATGTAGCGATTGGAGGTCCTCTCGTTTTCGCTCAGTTCCCACTTCAGAGTCCGGTAGGCTGCGGCCTTGCCTGGCCGAAGCTGTCTGGTAAAGGTCCACCTACTAGTGACTTTCTGCGTAGTCTCAACGTCCTTCCCTAATCCTCCATTGCCCATGACATTGACCTCGGGGGTGAGGCGGTAGATAGACTTCTTGATAACGGTCGTTTGCTCGCCGCTTTTGGTCATCTGAAGCGAGCTTGCCCGACGAATGGACACAGGCTCTGGTCTCCGATTCTCCTCTTCAACACCAATCTCATGATCTAACGTCGACAAAACCATTGCGCTAGATAGCTGCAGTCCTTTGGTTGATCAAAGCAGAGATCCATGTAGAGAATTCCAGCGGACCGCTCTGCGTTTCCTAACACACCCCATTTCGATTTCGATAGACAGAATCGACAGTCTATCTTGACCTTTCCGAGTTCTCGATTGCCCACGCTCGCTGATGATAGACTATCGAGGCATTCGAAAGAGCGGCCGAACTTTCGCGCGGAGATGCCAGGCTTTTGGGAAGTCATACTTCTTGGAATCCACAACTGTTGCCAAGCTGCTAGTATGGGCGATTCGATACTCACAGTCAACTGAGTAAATATCTAACTAACATAGAGGAAGGCTAGCCACAGCTGAGAGGCATGAAGCTGTGAGGCTGAGTTTACCAATCCGCAGTCCGCAGTTCGCTTAGGTTTGGCCAGCCAAGTTGAAGCAACTGCGTGGCTTCTATTGTTACAATCAGATCCCCTCACACCCATAAGTGACAGCCTTCTAGACTGCCTTGTAGGAGATTAATGATTTATTTTTGTTTCTAGCATTCTATAAAATGAACAGATCGTCGTCCTCTCCGGAGGGAGTCCGAATGATAGTAGGCTGTCCATGGTGTCCACAGCACTAGATGGCTTTAGCAGCCTGACCGACCTTCACAAACATTAATAAAAAATTGCCAAGCTGCCGCGTTACAGCCCAGGCTCAGCTGGCTATAGCGCTCGTAGACCCTAGTAGATAGTTTTAATTAGGCCTAATGTAGTAATACAAGATTTCCATACTGCCCCTGAGTGCTGATTTTGCCTTTTGGTGATGGTATTGATCGTACGGAGTGGATATGTAGAAAATGTATGAGATTCGGTATATAGCTTGGTTTGACCATACTAGTACTTACCCCTAATGCCTTGCCCATATAAATTTTGCGTGTGGAGTCATTGTGAACAAGTACCGTTTTGATCAGATTTCATCAAGCCATGTGGTACTTACCCCTGATGCCTTGCCTATATAAATTTTGCGTGTAGAGTCATTGTAGACAAGTACCTTTTGGTCATGACAGCGGTGGAAAAAATCATCACATTATCACAGCCTCAATTCCAGCGTTAGAATGCCAATTCGGAGGCAGCAATTGCTGGTGGCAACGATAGCTACCAGTATACTACTTCTACGACTACGTCGTCGTCGCCGGCGGCTTCATATTGAGGCCTTACAGCGTCGATACCGGGCGCCGTTTGAGTATGAGTCTAATGGACTCTCGAAGCGTGGGGGCAAGACTCCCCAGTCAAAGTGAAGCATTATTTACAGTAAGTCAGCTCTTATTTGATTATATATTATACTAAATACTATCTAGCTTCTCAATTGAAGAGATCCGGCGTCTCTTACCCCTTCTTCGGCTCGAAGATCTTGTATATCGTCACCGGGTTGTTGCTGACCCCGAGGCTGCTTTATGTGTCGTACTCGTCCGCCTGGCATATCCAAGCCGGTGGAGCACTTGCATTGGGATCTTTGGAAGATCTAGCACCTGGTTAAGTATCATATTCAATGATACCTGTCAGTATTTGCTTGGCCGGTTTGCTTCAACTCTAGCGTGGGCCTCGCATCTAACATATGATAAGATGCAAGAGTTCTCTATAGCTATAGAAGCTATTGGCCAATGCCCTCGTATATGGGGCTTCGTAGACGGCACGTTTCGAGGATTCTCACGTCCGTCAGGTCCTGATGAAGCCCAGCCTGCAGTATATAACGGCCATAAGCGTCAGCATGGCCAGCAATGGCAAGCTGTTGTAACACCAGATGGTTTGGCGTCGTCGGTCTGTGGCCCCTTTCTTGGAACGGCAAACGATTGGATGATGTGGCAAGAGTCTGGCTGCGAAGCCAAACTTGAGCAGATTATGGAAGGCAAAGAAGATTCTGAATGGCTCTTCCTATATGGTGATCCAGCGTATCGGTCACATCGATTCAAAGTCAGTTCGCCATCAATTGAAGAGTATTTGTATATATTAGAATAGCTAGCTACATAGTAATCAATCCCGTTGTCCCATGCCCATCCACTCTATCATCGAAGAGAACGAAGAGAACATCCGCTGCTGTTCTCTTCGAATATCTTCAAACTGAGTGGCGAACACAGCTTGAAGCCGCTCCTCTTGAGCCTTCAAGTGGAATTCGAAGTTCCCATCTAGCGCCTCTGGATGTAGAGGCGGTGGTAAAGAGAGCGTCTTCACTAGATCTTCTACCATAGAGAAGAGGCGCTCTTCTTTGTCGTTATCCTGGATGGCGGCGTTATGCATCTGAGAACGCCGAGAAGCAACAGATGGATGCGGCGAAGGAGAAGGCTGGTAAGAACGGTCAAGTGGTGATGGAGAAGATTGAATATCATCGTCATCAATGATAACGACTTCTTCATCTCCACTACCACTTACCAATTGCTGTGCCTGGCGTGCTGGAAGGCGAAGGCACTGGCGGGTTGATAGACCGCTTCCCCTTCATTGTAAGAAGCATTGCCGCATGGGCGAGGAAAGAAGCTTCGCTCTTGGCACCAATATTGCCTTGGTGCTCTCTTCGCTCGCGGATAACAGTGGCATCAGCATCGAGGACAGCTATCCAGTTGTCCTCGTATGACTCCCGTTCCGTTCGGCCGTCTTGCTCGCCAATACCAAGATCCTCAAGGTATTTCCGCCGTGCGGCAATACCTCTCCTAAGCACTTGATGAAGAGTTCTGTGCTCTTTGCCAGTCTCTTTCATCCAATCGGCAGCTACATTCTTGAAGAATGTAGCTGCTTCTGGTGATCGATATGTGTCTGCCATCCGTAGGCAGATCTTCAAGAGTATGATATAGTCGCCCGGACTCATAACTCGACTCCTTCCATTCCCTTGTAGTATATCCTCCTCTTCTCCTTTACTTTTGCGCTTCTTCCTTGGTCTTCCTTGCGTATTCGATTGTAAAGGCGGTGCTTGGTTGGGGGTGCCGTTCTCACTTTGGTTTTCGTCATCACCGTCGTCATCTCCACCATCGTCATCACTGTCTTCACCACCAGAGTAAAAACCACCGGCCATAGTAATTGCTTGAATAGGGGTGCTTTCGCCCCTATTCAGAGTTGGATCCAATCGCCACATGCCCTGGAACCCAGCTGGTACGCTGGTAATCATTGGTTTCGGAGGCATCGTCGATATGGCCGCATAAATTGTCACTTTTCACCATCAGAAGCGTATTACACTAGAACGACGTTATATTTTCTACATTACTAATCTATCTACTAACTACAAATGGTAAATAAAACCTGTTCAGAGCAGGACAGGATCCTGTCCTGCTCTGAACAGGTTTTGGTCTCAAATTACCAAAAGCGGAGGGTCAGACTGGGGGGTAGGGGGGGCGACAGGGGTAAAACACCAGCGGCTTGGCAGTTTCCTCTCTGGGCCTTGGTCAAGCCGAAGGTCAGGCTGCTAAAGCCATCTAGTCTCAGACGGCCGTGGACACCATGGACGCTTCGATGAACCCAAGCGCGAGTTCGAGTGAGTCAACAAAATCGAGCGCGAGTGTATTGACGATTTAGAGTTATAGAAACATAAAGATAACCCTAACCCTATTGTTTAAGGGTTTGATTTAGCCTTTCTGTTTAACCGTCTGTTTAGGGATAGAAAGCTGTTAATAGCTTATGATTTGTTCCTAAAAGTGCCATTAAAATTCTCAAATTTTGAAGTGAAAAACTTGTCTCTATCTAGTATAGTAGAAAAGGAAACCAAATATATATTAATTTAGCTATAAATTCCTCTTCTAGATCCTCTTCTTCTTCCTTTATAAAATCCCAACTCTTTAAACAAGCTATTACTCTAAAAACATCTTTAGAAAGCCTATTTCTAATCTTTGAAATAATAAGGCTACCTGTACTAAAAGAGCCCTCTATAGGAGCACAGTAGCAGGGTTTGTAAATAGCGCCTAGCTATAGTAGCTAGAATTGGAAATTGAGATTGATTTATTTTCTAATAGTCTAAAAGATTAATCTATATAATTAAATAAGATAAAGTTAACTTACCTACAACTAGGTTGTGTACACTTAATAGTAAGTGTTCATTCTTTATTTTCAATAATAGGATTTAACTCTCTAGTAAAGAGTCCTTCCTTAAAAATATAAGGAAAGTTATCTAAAGGAAGAGTATAGCTAGGGCTATTATATTGATCTTTAGAAGAAGACATAGTTATAGTAAAGATAGTATAAAGTGTTGTTATTGTTGCTTTTGTTTTAATAGAAAAGTTAGTTAAGGAGGGAGTTAAACGCTCTATATATACCTAGATTATAGATTCTAGAATATGCTGTATAGATATATTTATAAGCATTTATAAGCATCTCAAACTCTCTAGAAGTTTGTAGAAGTTTGTAAAATTCTCTAGAAACATTTCGTTTTTCTAAAAAACCCATTAACTGTTAAGCTGGAATATTCTTGTAATGATGTATGGTTACGCTCGCGCTACATCCTACTAAGCCAAAAAGACTACAATATTCCAGCTCGACAGTTAATGGGTTTTTTTCTAGCTGGCTCGCTTCGCTAAGTGACCGGTGTAGTTAAGAAATGTAGTTCCTTACCTAGCTGACAAGGGCAACCTTAGGGGCTTAAGCTATATATATAGACACCCTAGCATCCTAAGTTGAGTAGTGATAAGGCCTAAAGAGCATAGCATGCTAGGACGTCATGGACTAGAAGGGGTGGTATTGTAACAGGGTGCTAGAGTTCGACCATTATAGTACAGTACTAGACCACTGCTATTAACTGAATCCAATTTGACGCGTAAATTGCGTCACGTAACCCACCCCTCCTTGTACAACAACCATAATTATGCCACCAACTCGGAGGGCTTTGGCTCCAATTGATGGGAATCGACAGCCTGGTGGCCAATTAAGCCCATACCAACGTGGGCAGATTATTGGGAGGCAGTCAGAGGGTGGAACACCTACTAAGATTGCACATGACCTAAACCTTGACCGAAGCACCATACGATATACAATTGCAGTTGACTCAATACGCACCGAAGGCAAGAGCCTACCCCGTACACCACGGGGAAAGTCATATACAGAAGCAGAGCAATGCCTTATACTCTGCCATGTACGCCTAAACCCAAAGGATACATACCAAGAAGTAAAGGATGCTTGTAATGTTGCTTGCTCAACATCAACTTTAAAGAGGATACTATAAGAAGCAGGCATAGGCAATTGGCGTGCAAAGTGTCGCCCTTTCCTACTGCCAATACATGCAGCTAAACGGCTTGCATGGTGTTTAGCACGGAGGAATTGGACAGCAGAGGATTGGGGTCAAGTTGTGTAGAGTGATGAGTGCTCTGTTGAGTGGGGGCGGGGTAACAGGAGCGAGTGGTGTTTCTGCACACCTGCTCAGAAGTGGCAGCGGGAGATGATCCAAACCTACAGTACAAAGAAGAACATGAAGATCATGGTTTGGGGGGCCTTTTGGGCAGAAGGCCAGAGCAATTTATACCTTATGGACCGTGACTTTGAGTCAAAGAAGTTTGGATATACTGCAAACTCATACCTTGAGGTTCTAGAAGCAGAACTCCTCCCTATTTTTGAGAGTCTTGACTCTAGCTACTCATTTATACAAGATAATGCTCCTATCCATACTGCGGGTATGGTTACAGACTTTCTTGAGGAGCATATGATTACTACACTCTATGGGTGGCTGCCCTACTCACCCGACCTCAACCCAATTAAGCACATTTGGTGGCACTTGAAAACCCGGGTGTGTGAGATGTTCCCTGAAATTGCAAAGGATAAATCAAACTCAGAACATGCAAGACAGCATCTACAATCATGTTTGCAAGCAGCATGGGATACATTAGACAAGTCATTGTTTGATAAATTGTATAAGAGTATGCCGAGTAGAATTGAGGCATGCATTCAAGCAGACGGGTGGCATACAAAATACTAGAATACTCATTTTTTATACTATATACTATAGGGGCTTATTTTGTATAGCTTTCAATTCTAAATACAATGGATCAATGTTTACATCTATTGCTCTAAAATTGCATATGTTACGAGCAAATTAATTATCTACGTTCGGTGGCTTCGCAGGTGGTTTTGCGATTCAGTTAATAGCAGTGGTCAGTGACTGTATATATAGCGTGTTATGCATATTCTAGGCAAGCTGGAATATTCTTATAACGATGTACAGTTACGCTCGCGCATGGTCTACTGTCTATATGCATAGCTCTTAGAGCTGGCTTAGTGGCCTCGGTCGCTAGTGTCGCCCCCCTAGATGTCATGACACTCCTTCAATATTTGTGTCACGACCCTTCGATTCGCTTTAGTCTCTAGTACTTATTTCACTATGTCATTCACTTCACTTGCTTCGCTCACTTCACTCACTTCACTTCACTTGCTGACCTAGATCAGCCCAAATGTTGACTACTGGCTTAGGCTCTCTTGTTATTGGCTTGCTGCACTAGGGCTCGCTTAGCTAGGGTTCGGTTAATTAGTGCCTTCACTTATTTGGCACTAGGGATTTTTACTGTTATATAAGCACTTATTGCTCATGTCTCTTATTGATCTTTAGCTAGCAAATTATATACTACTTGGCCTTCTTGCAATTCCTCCTGCTTCGACTTACTTTGCATTCCCTTACTTTGAGTCGAACCACTTGGCCAACCTGTTAGTCTCACCACTTGACCCCTGTGGTATAAAGTATATGCTTTGGAGCCTGAACTACTATACCTTGTCCTACTGCTTCGAGTATAGAAGTCTTCACATTATACTCCGGATACTTCTGCAGACTTGAAGGTCAGCCTCGGTTCGAACTGTCCTTACACTAGAGGTCGCTCTAGTAATCTGTTTTTCCTAGCTCGCCATCCTAACCTAGTAGGCTGGATATGGGTTGAGTTAATAGAATTATAAGGGTCGTAAACCTAAGGGTCTCATAGGAGTCTAGGGAACCAGATTAGGAGGCAGAAAGGTATTGTATTCTATAAGTACAATAGGTTATATAGATCTAGGACTATTGACTAGAGGCCTTCTTCTAAGGCCTCTAGCCTCTTTTATCTAGGCGCCTTACGCCCTACTTTACCGAGCCCTATAGGCCTACTAAAGGGGCCTTACGTTGTGGCACGTAATGCCCTTCCTTACAGCTGTTAAGAGTTAACGGGATAAAGGTCTTGGTTATATACACAAAAACGCTGTGGTGTAGGTAGGGATGCCTCCTTAGCTAGGGCAGAGCATCGTTTGACACTGACGTATCAATAAAAGCTGCTGTTGTCAGCTTACCTGACCAGTTTACCTGACCAGCTTACCTGACCTAGGGACAATTAGAGCCTAACTACATATGATGATGTAATCTAATACTGCCAAAAAACACGGTGTGAGGTCCGCAAGTCTGGACTATACCGCAACACTAAAAATGTGAATCCACACCCCTGCGCGCGTATAGCCATTTATTTACTCAACAACGGAAGGCAGCCTGTCAGGAAAACTTGGGAGCACGCCCTGGAGGCTTTTGGCTCTAAGTACGATGCTTAACATATTTGTAACATTTCACTTCTTTACAAGTATCCTGACCCCTTTAGAGCCATGTCTCCCCACAGGGATGAAGACGTCCTTGGTGAGTTCCACATCGTACACAGTCGTTTCGAATAGTTCCAAGTACCCCACATCATCCTCGAACCTTATACTCTCGCTCCCGTAAGCGCTGAATATCCTTGCCAGAGCAATATAAAGCTCTGCGTATGCCAGATTGATGCCAATACATTGCCTCGTGCCCTTTGAAAAAGAGACAAGGTATTTAGATAACTGTGGGTTGCAAATCCAGCGTTCAGGCGCGAACTTCCTCGAGTTAGGAAAGACCGACTCATCATGATGAATGAGAACGCTCGTCATGCTGACCGGTGTTCCGGGAGGTATGTACCAGTCTTTGTTGCCATCGTTAAAAGCCAAAGTCTCGTCAGGTGCAATGCGTTGGAGGCGAGTGCATACGCCGTAGCTCAGTCGTATGCACTCCTGGACGCATCCTGTCAAGTATGGAAGCTGCTCCAAGGCATCTAAGGTAATGGGCGAGGAAGGACTTTTCAACACAGTTTGCAGTTCCTCCTTAAGTTTTTTCAGCGTCTCAGGCTGGGAAAGAAGATAAAAGACGGCAATACAGAGTCCCCAAGCTGTGGTGATTGTTCCAGCAATGACAACTGTCTGACCATCCTGCGCGAGCCGAGCATCTGACTTCTCTTTAGGCGGCAGGTCGCTGTTCATAATCTCATAGAAAATTGTTCGGTGATCAGCACTGTTGTCGTCAGTTATTCCAGCCTTCATCTCCTTAATCTGTTTTCTAATCATCTATATCACAGGGTTAGTGTGAATCCTCATAGAAAGGTGTTCAGTGGGTAACGTTAGGTGAAAGAAGGAACCGACATTCTGAAGACCAAAATATGAGGCCATGTCGGGGTCTAACCAGGTCATAAATGACTCAGGCAACGACTTCATGAGAGGCAAGACCCAGGGATATTGCTTGACGAGAGCACCGTTACTGCTGCCAGCAACAGACGCATTGTGAAATGTGGGTTCAAAGTCTTGCTGATCAACTCGATGGTCAGACCGTGCAAAGGCATATTCTTGAGCGATGTCTGTAATTCCTGTCAGCGGAGTCGAGGCGAGAAATGATATACATACCATTAGTGTATGCAGAGAATGCGTAGTTCAGAGTTATGGGCTGGCTGGAGGTTTGAAACCCTTGAAAACGGTTCAGCAGCGCATCAATTCTCTCGTCAATGATGGGTTGCAGCTTTCTGATTGCGCCTTTGGAAAAGAACGGATTGACAGCTGCTCTCCGTATACGGTGGGAGTCATGATCGTTAGTCCCGAACATGGATTCGGGCAAGCCAAATTGAGCCGTAAACCAATCCCACCGATGGCGACGCTTTCCGGGTCCTGTGTACAGCTTCTCGTAGAAATCGGGTAATGAAACGTGCAACTCATAGGGATTGATGCGGATAATAGGGCCATATTTCTCGTGCATCCGACTAATCTCAAAAGTATACTGCCCACCTTGTACTACATAGTAATAGAATTCATACCTGTAATTTGTTAGCGTAATCCGTAGAGAAAGTCTTATTATTTTATTTACCAGAAGCTCACGGCTGCTAGCTTGGGTCCTGGGAATCTCGCTATTGGACTGAAATATAGGCGATAGACAGCTTGCGTAATAACGTACACGAGCGAAGCTGTGAGTGTCGCGGCTAGAGCTGAAGGAACAGATCCGCTGAAGAATGAGTTCATAGTACACTGTTATAACTACAGTTGACGTGATAATGCTGAATCGTAGAGGAGTAGTTTGCAGCGTGAGATAACTAAGGAAGGAAGAAAAGACGAGGCACAGAGTCTTGGATGGAAATAAGGGAGAACGGCGCCGCAGCCCGGAACCTACCAAAGGGATTGCCAAGGATTACCGGAGGAATACAGTACAAATTGGGGCTGATCCGCTCCGTAGAATAGCCAGTCGAATCAATTCCTAAGATATGGGTACAGTGTTGGGAGCTTGGACCACCACTCGGCGGTGCCAGCGGCCCGGCCCACCCATGGCAGTTGCCAAGGCACAGTATGTACCTTGACGTGACCCCCTAAAAATTAATTAAAAATTAATGGGACGGACTTTACCTCCTTGACTTGACTTGCCGCCCCGTGCCTTGTGGCACAGCCATTATACCAACGAAAGAGTGTATTTTAGCAGACGAGCCTGTGTCTGAGAATACTCCTGAAATTATACGCAGGTTTGTTCATTCCATACAGTTGTCCTGAAATTTCTCTTAACTAACACCGATTCTAGAATTTTCCAGCAGCGACTGTGGAAGAGGCTGTCTCGAATCCTCGCATTCCAAGCAACACATTTCTACTTGTCACTCCCGATATTGTGGATGCGTGCATTAACACTTCCACGCCGTGGATATGGGCGTATGACGCAAAGTTTATCCCTTCAGCTACGCTTCCACCTACACCAGCATCTGGGACAAAGGATTATGAAGGACGATTAAGGGTTAGCTTGTACTCATTATTCACCCGGTTTTATGCTGTACGATCTGAGGAGCTCTATGACATGGCCCTTTTTTGGGAGAAGGCACAGAATCAGGGTCAAGTTTGGAGTGTTGCAACTCAGTCAGGCATTTATCACCATCCGTTTGTTCTCCTCGAGAAGGGTTCATCGTACCCATTTGATACATATGAACTTAACAATGGCTCTTAAGGTATAATCTATCTTCAATAGTTTCCGCTTGATTCCACGAAAGCTTCTCCATTTTGGCCATAGGGATATTGCTATGACAATATGATAATGATTATTATATTACCGTTTGAATCTGTACCAATGTTCATGTTGCACTACAAAAGGGGCTGAGGGAAGAGAAAGGGTGGGCGAGATATAGGAGTACAGTGCGACGGTGAGAGGATGGCGGTGGCGAAAGAAGGTGGCGGTGAGAGCACGATCTCGAGATAAGTTGGGAAAATGATTTCTCGCTCGCTAGTCGACTGGGATTTGGCTTAGGATACGTTTTATGTAGGATTTTAGGGCCTGCATGCTCTATGGTTCTCAGCTTTCCTTCTTTTTCCTCATACTTATGTTTCCTAGCATAATCTCCCTGGATTATTTATCTTCCTCGCTGCCTTCAACATAAGCGAATGTCAATCCTGTTAGAGTGAAGTTAGTAAATATATATAATATTTTAGATAAAGTAGCATCTATAGCATGACTTGACTGGCAAAGGTTCTGCTGTTGTTAGCATCCTTCGTGATTCTCTCACTTACTTCTTTGAGGTGGTTCCATCTTACGGTCCTGTTCTGAACTCTTTGCTTCGTTGTGGCTGTTTGAACCCGTATTCTTGGTATTTCCAGAATCATCTACTGCATGATTTTTATCATCTGTCTATGGATCGACAATCTCGACCTCCGGCCCCTTATCAATCTTCTCAACTTGCAGTCCATCATCTATCTCAACCTGTGGCCCATCTTCCTTGTCATGTGTGACTGGTTGTTTGGTTTCTAGCTCTTTATCGTCTAGACCAGATGGTTCTTGGTAGATGGGGTCCTAAGTATTGTCTGAGCTTGTACTTAAGTCCAGCTCCATTACCTCTAGGATGTCTTTAACAGTCTTCTTTGCATTTTCTTGCTTGCTGTTATTTCCAAACACACCATATTGTCTATGTTTGCAGATTTCCTTTATGCGTTCGATTAAGAGGACTCTCTCATCAAGTTGGAGGGGCCGCTTAATAATGTATAAGGAAGGCCATCATGTGCCACCACATAAAGCCCCTTTAGTAGGGCCTATAGGGCTTGGTAAAGTAGGGCATAAGGCGCCTAGATAAAAGAGGCTAGAGGTCTTAGAAGAAGGCCTCTAGTCAATAGTTGCTATATCTATGTAGACCTATTGTGCTTACAGAATATGATACCTTCCTGCCTCCTAATCCAGTTCCCTAGACTCCCGTGAGACCCTTAGGTTTATGACCCTTATAATTCTATTAACTCATCCCATATCCAGCCTACTAGGTTAGGATGGCGAGCTAGGAAAAACAGATTACTAGAGCGACCTCTAGGGGGGCGACACTAGAGACCGAGGCCACTAAGCCAGCTCTAAGAGCTATGCATATAGACAGTAGACCATGCGCGAGTGTAACTGTACATCGTTCTGCTTCTAGAACCTCAAGGTATGAGTTTGCAGTATATCCAAACTTCTTTGACTCAAAGTCATGGTCCATAAGGTATAAATTGCTCTGGCCTTCTGCCCAAAAGGCCCCCCAAACCATGATCTTCATGTTCTTCTTTGTACTGTAGGTTTGGATCATCTCCCGCTGCCACTTCTGAGCAGGTGTGCAGAAACACCACTCGCTCCTGTTACCCCGCCCCCACTCAACAGAGCACTCATCACTCTACACAACTTGACCCCAATCCTCTGCTGTCCAATTCCTCCGTGCTAAACACCATGCAAGCCGTTTAGCTGCATGTATTGGCAGTAGGAAAGGGCGACACTTTGCACGCCAATTGCCTATGCCTGCTTCTTATAGTATCCTCTTTAAAGTTGATGTTGAGCAAGCAACATTACAAGCATCCTTTACTTCTTGGTATGTATCCTTTGGGTTTAGGTGTACATGGCAGAGTATAAGGCATTGCTCTGCTTCTGTATATGACTTTCCCCGTGGTGTACGGGGTAGGCTCTTGCCTTCAGTGCGTATTGAGTCAACTGCAATTGTATATCGTACGGTGCTTCAGTCAAGGTTTAGGTCATGTGCAATCTTAGTAGGTGTTCCACCCTCTGACTGCCTCCCAATAATCTGCCCACGTTGGTATGGGCTTAATTGGCCACCAGGCTGTCGATTCCCATCAATTGGAGCCAAAGCCCTCCGAGTTGGTGGCATAATTATGGTTGTTGTACAAGGAGGGGTGGGTTACGTGACGCAATTTACGCGTCAAATTGGATTCAGTTAATAGCAGTGGTCTAGTACTGTAGGTTCTCTGTCCTCCTTCTTCTTAGGCCTCACTAACCATCTGTCTAGGTCAAAAAGGCGTTAGAGCCTCTGTTTGAGTCTCTGTAGCTCACGGCTGACGCTGTTTAGAGTAGCCATGCTAATGACTATGATGCTAGCCTTAAGGATCCTTCCGTTACTACTACTAAGGCCTAGGAAGTCCTTGCTAGCACCTAACGCATCTTCACTAATTCCTCTCATAGCAAGGGCGTTAACAAGAAGGGTGTAAACAGCCCTAAGACTAAGCGTAAGAAGGCTATGGCTTCTAGGAAGGGAAAGGGAGTTGCCTAGCCTCCTAAAGATCATGGTCCCTCTAGCTTGTGACGTTAACGATCCTTGCTAGGCTCTTTCTTCGTCCATCTGTCTCTAGAGGTCAGCTTGCTTTGAGGCTATGCTCTTGCCCTTACCTGCTATAGAGTGGCTAACTTCAGGTTCTAGAAGCAGAACTCCTCCCTATTTTTGAGAGTCTTGACTATAGCTACTCATTTATGCAAGATAATGCTCCTATCCATACTGCGGGTATGGTTACAGACTTTCTTGAGGAGCATATGATTACTACATTCTATGGGTGGCCGCCATACTCACCCGACCTCAACCCAATTGAGCACATTTGGTGGCACTTGAAAACCCGGGTGTGTGAGATGTTCCCTGAAATTGCAAAGGATAAATCAAACTCAGAATATGCAAGACAGCGTCTAGAATCATGTTTGCAAGCAGCATGGGATACATTAGACAAGTCATTGTTTGATAAATTGTATAAGAGTATGCCGAGTAGAATTGAGGCGTGCATTCAAGCAGATGGGTGTGTAATGGTGGGTGCACCAGATATGAGAATCTAGCCACCCAAGGAAGGGATGAATTTACTAAGACAACACACTGTCTTAGGAAACAGAGCCAAAGGGTTGTAGCTTAGACTATTCCACAACGCAGCAATTAGGTGTATGATGTGGTGAAGTGGTTTAGACAAGTTGCAACAAATGTTGAGTCTGAGAACTCAGGGGTAAGTCAGAGGTTAGCACCTCACTGACTTTTCAAAAACAGAGAATAACAAGATCAATGCTTGGAAGCTTGGAAAAGACGTAGAAGTATGTGCTAGTCGATTTACTGTATTGCCTGCTTGCCCTTTCTTAAGGAAAGGGCAATCCTATTTATGCCAAAGGAGTGTAGTTCTCTCATTTTCCATGACTTTCCATGACTAACCAGGCTTGGTAAATGTATTAGAAATCAAGTGCGACCCACAACTAGCTTGCTAATCATGTAGCGAATGTAAGAGAATCCCATAGAACCATCTCTTGGGTTCCTAGCCTATAGGAAGTGAAAAGGAGGTCCAAGGTCAGAGTACCTATAGATAAATTATGTCATAACTTAACCAATCTTGTGGGTAACTAAGGAGCGATGACGTGTAATGAATTATAGAGGGTTGTAGAAGCTTCTAGAGCTATCGTTCATCTTCCTAGGCCTCTAGTTGGTAGAGATATGCCATGTGGTAGTATTGGCCCACCCCCTTAAGGAGGAGATTTTCTTAATAACTTGTTCAATGAGTGTCCAAATGATATGCCGTGATGTATGTAGCATAAACAGATGTAGTCGAAGAGTTTGCAGCAATCGTTGAGTAGTATTGCTTCTGTTGTTGATGTGATAAGCCAAGATATGTATGTTGACTTGTAGGTTTGAGGAGGAGATTTCTAAGTTTGCTCTTGAGTTTGATAGCAAACTGAGTGCAACGAATGTCAGTATGACAGGGTGGCATACAAAATACTAGAATACTCATTTTTTATACTATATACTATAGGGGCTTATTTTGTATAGCTTTCAATTCTAATTACAATGGATTGATCTTTAACGTACATGTATAGCGAAAGCGCC